ATAACTATTGCGTTGATTTTTTTTTTTTCAATCTTCTAGATCCAAGTCCTTAAATGATACCAAATAATTAATCATGATCATCTTCTTCAATTCCAGGGCATAATTGCTCTAGCTCCTCAACGCTACTGTATTCACATCCACACCAAAAACAATAATTATACTTTTCTCTCATGTATTTTAAAATACTGTCAAGCTTTTCCGCTGGCTATTATAATGTGAACCAACAAAAAAAAAGGCATAAGTATTGTGCATGGTAAAAATATGAATAAATGGAAAAAGACCAACCGATAATTTTTCAAATTCCGAGGGTTCTTCATCACTTTCTTCATTTTCTTTGCTTAGCCAGAAAATATTGTCCTTTTTAAAGAATTTTTAATTATAATAACAATAAATAAGTCACAATTACAAAACAATATTTATTTTAATGTTACCATTATACCCTGTTAAACAAAGATTCAAATTAGATCAATCATAAAAAGTGAATTACAGAGAAAATAGTAAAACAAATAATTCACACCTTCCTCATATCTAAGGTTTCACATGCATTTTGCGCTTTATTCAACTGTGTGATAATCTTTTTTTCTACTTGTTCTTTGCGCACGCGTTCGATAAATGATTCCTCGCTAATTTTTGCTCGTTTAGCTTTCCTAGCAAGTTCCGTTTCAGCTTTTTGTTTAAGCTCAGAAGACCTTCCTAGACCCGATTTATCTTTTGATGAATCATAGATTCAGAATATGTTATTCGTACCAGCGCCCTATTCGAAAAGTAGAACCAATCAACAATTGATTTGATAATAATACCAGATTTCATTTCGATGTTTATTGGCTCTGTGATTCCACTAGAATCCTTTCCCAACGGCTTTCCTAATTCATACCCCATTTTTTTTAATAGTTTTAATCCTGGTGAGTCTGTATTATCATCTATGCGCTTTGAAAGACCTTGTTCTCGACTCTCCTTTTCCCGTTCTCGTAGGGGTTTTATATAACCAGACTTGGAAGAAAGCTTTTGACGACGGAGCTCTGAGTATGTTTTTGGCTCCGTAGTTGAAGACGATGGTCATGATTAATTATTTGGTATCATTTAAGGACTTGGATCTAGAAGATTGAAAAAAAAAAAATCAACGCAATAGTTAT